TGTAGAATCCACTATCCTTTTGGTGTACTGCTTTCTTGGGCTCTTGGGTTCAGGTACGAGTTTGATCTACTGGCTATCGGTAATACAACGGAAGAATCCTGACCTGAATCTTGCATAAAGGGCTTAACACTAGACTCCGATCTACGCAACCCTCGCCCAAGTCGCACTCCAACATGCACATATATTCAAGATCGTTTCTATACTTCCATCGACTCGGTGGCGGGTGGCCCGCATCCGCTGAGCATGCGTGCGACATCGTCTAGTCGTGCGGAAGGCGCCCGTTCGACTCGGGCCCGGGTGATATAATCTGTCCACGCTCTTTTTTGTTCTTGCCTTGCCTTTCCTCTTACGCTCGCAAGTCCCCAATCTAAAATCACCCATTCGGAAATCTCCTTATTTTACTGGGTTCTCAGCTGCTTGCTGATTCGCCTCACGCCCAGTCTGCTTGGAATGCCGATTTTCGCAACTCCCAATCCAATATTCCCGGAGCATGGGCGGTCGCACTGTAAACCCAGCCAGATACCCAGGTACGTTTCATTGCTTGCACAGACCCCGTGGCGGACGGCCCGCCTCTGCATCTCGTCCTGCAACCCAAGCGATGCAACCAGACGTCGCCCCTTCGATTCGGGCCCGAGTCATGGGCGTTTGTCAATATGCCTTTCTATTTTTTTCAAAGCTCGCTGTTGGTAATACTCAAAGGTGCTCCCAGAAGTCCTCACCACGGGCTAAGGCTCTCTACGTCCTTCGGCCGATCGTTCTCTCATTTAGATTTCGCCTGCAACGCCTCTGCTGTATTAAATGGACCCGCGCTCGAACGAAGCCTCGCCATCACACAGGGAAAACTCGCGCACGTATTCAGGTGCGTTTCATCAATTGTATCGACCCGGTGGCGGATGGCCCGCATCTGCTAAGCCTTCCGAGCCACATTGACAAAAGGAAATCCTGCGGAAGATGCCCGTTCGACTCGGGCCCGGGTCATGAACGAACGGTGACGACTGACGTTTTTTTTTGCCTCTTCACTAATGTCAGGTCCTCCAAAGCTCCCCCCGATATCTTTTCATTTGACTGACCTCTTAGCTGCCTCCTGACTACATGTATTTCTCTCTCTCATGCAGTTTCGCTCTCTCTAACTCATTCTTCGGAAGAATATTCACTCAAAGTTGCACGCGCATGTATTGAGCACGCTTCGTGCATTCTATCGACCCGGTGGCGGATGGTCCGCGTCCGCTCGGCTTCACTGAGAACCAGATTCAAAGGGTGCGGAAGACGCCCGTTCGATTCGGGCCCGGGTCATGAACGTGATCCACGCAGATTTTTTTCCTCTTCACTAATGTCAAGTCCTCCAAAGTGCCAGTGCCACCCAATCTTCTACGCAGCTCTCGCCGCCTTCTCCCTATTTTAATCGCCCAGGTTTCCCGCTCTGAGTCTCGCGCCGAGATGAATTCGTGAGATTGACTCTGCTGCAATATTGGCCGCAAGCGCACTCAACCGTCTTGTCAGATAGCCGCGAAGGCCGGCAGTTCGGAATGAAAAGTCGCGCACTTGTGCAGGTGTCTTTCGTTGCTTGTATCGGCCCGGTGGGGGACAGTCCGCATCTGGGTCTTATTATGTGTCCGGTGGAGATTATGCTGGAGATGCCCGTTCGATTCGGGCCCGGGCCATGCGGTGTTATCCACCGAGGATTATTTTTGCCCTTCACGTTGGTGTGCTGCTGGCAGGCTGCGGTGCTTGGGTAATTCTACTCGCTGCTCAAGATTCAAGGGAAGAATGTTGACGTAAATCTTGCATAAAGTGCTGAAGCTGGCTCCTGGCTCTGTCGTCTACGCAACCCTCGCGCAATTCGCACTCCGAACATGCACACATATTCAGGATCGTTTCCATAGTTGTATCGGTTCGGGGGCGGGTGGTCCACGTCCGCTCGACTTCGCTATGGCAAGTGCTGCGGAAGACGCCCGTTCGATTCGGGCCCGGGTCATGGGATCTGACCACGCTCTTTTTTCTTCTTGCCTTGCCTTTCCTCTTGCGCTCACAGGTCCCTTATCCCGCTCTCAGAGAATCGCGCCGAGATGATTTCCTGAAATCACTGCGTTCCGACCCCCCGTAGACACAGGGTGTGTCTACAGGCGTAGCCCAACCCGTAGACACAGATGTGTGTCTACATGTGGCTACGTCTGTAGCCACAGTGCGTCTACCTCTGCCTACCTGGGTCTACCTGGGTTCAGGCCGTAGACCAAGGTGGGTTTGGGTCTGTCGCCTGCTATTAGTGCATAAATCAATCCCGACACCCCCGTTTCACGGCCACAATTGACGGAAGATCAACCAAACATTGCGCCAGCCCCAACCGGGCCGTATCCACAGCCGCCCACCCACGGACCAGAGACTCCCTGTAACAACATTGTGAGGGCCTATGGAGGCTGCAAAAAGCCATATGCACATTGCTAAGCCCTTAAATAGCCGAACAAAGTCAGGCAAGGTTCGTGAACAATAGGTAAGCCTAGGAAGTCCAAGGTAGCCCAATGGAAACTGATGTAGACACAGCATGACTACGTGATGTAGACTCGGCTACATCATCGTACCCAAAGGTGTGTCTATGTCTCAGCCATGACCCTTGTCTACCCCCATCGACGAACGTAGCCAGGGGTAGCCCAAGCAACGTCATCGTAGCCACACCTGTGTCTACAGGGGGCCGGAACGCAGTGAATGAACTCCGCACTCTCACGCCCTCTTGGCTCTCGCGCTCATCTTCCTGGTCTCGATTTTCTGAATGGACGTTATTCGTGTTGCGGGTGGAAGTGGGAGGACTCGGTGGCGCCTGAATGGTTTCGCGTCCGCTCTACTTGGACGTGATGGAATTGTTGCGCGGAAGGCGCCCGTTCGATCCGGGCCCGAGTCATGCACTGTTTGTCGACAAGTCTTTTTGCGAAAAAAAAGACTGGCTGCTGGGAATGCTCAAACGTGCTCCCAGAAGTCTGCAACATTGTGCCGGGCTCTCATCTCCCTTCTGCTGATCGTTCTCTCGTTTAGATTTCGCCTGCAATGCCTCGCTTGTAGGAGAGACTCACACTCGGTGTTTGCCACTGTCCTCCACGAAGCCTCGCTATCACATACTGAAAACTCGCCCCCGTATTGAGGTACGTCTCCATACTTGCAGCGACCCGCTGGCGGACGGTCCGCCCCTGCGCCTTGTAATCATCGACAACATGGCTCCGCAGACGTCGCCCGTTCGACTCGGGCCCGGGTCATGAACGGTGTTCCCCCCAGTTTTTTGTTTTCCTCTTCACTAATATCAGGTCCTCCAAAGCTCCCCCCGATGTCTTTTCATTTGACTGACCTCTTAGCTGCCTCCTGACCCTTTCTTTCTCATGCAGTTCCGCCTCCAACTCATTGCATGCCATCTTCGGAAGAATATTCATTCAAGGTCGCGCACGTATCGAGGTACGTTTCGTGCCTTATATCGATCCGGTGGCGGATGGTCCGCGTCCGCTCGGCTTTGCTGAGATCTAGATGAAAATGCTGCGGAAGACGCCCGTTCGATTCGGGCCCGGGTCATGTATGCGCTTTGTCGATACACTTTTTTGTCAAAAGAAACCTCGCTGTTGGTAATGCTCAAAGGTACCCCCCCCCCCCGGGCCCCGCGTCTTGCCATTGTCCTGCCTGATATTGGTCTGACTCACACTCGTGTTCGCCGGCTTCTAAATATCCTCCCCTCGTCATTTCGCACGGCAAACTCACGCATATATACAGGTGCGTTCCCCCGCTTGTATCGACCCGGTGGCGGGCGGTCCGCCCCTGCGCCTTGTCAGCATCAAACCCCTAACTCCGCAGACGTCGCCCGTTCGACTCGGGCCCGGGTCGTGTGTGGTGATCCACCGATTCTTTTTCTTCAGTTCGATTTTTTTTTCCTTTTCTCCACTTGGATTTTGATTTTGATTTTCTGCACTTCGCTAATAATACCGGCAGGGCGTCCAAAGTCATCCAGAAAATACAGAACATAGTGGCCTGGATCTTGGATAATGGGCTGAAGACTGGCCCGTCCAACTCGCATGCGTTCGGGTACATTTCATGCATTCTGCCGACCCGGTGGCGGATGTCCGCGTTTACTCAGCTTCCCATTCACGAAGATAAATCATGCGGAATACGCCCGTTCGACTCGGGCATTGGTCATGCATCTGCAGTAATGGCATTTCTTCACTTTTTTTGGACTGCCTAAAATGCTCCCTTTTCCGTGTCCTTGGCAGATCGACTCGGTGGCGGATGGTCCGCACCTGCTTCAATTAACCGCAGCTCTCACTGGTACCAGTGCCCGGTCGATACCGCTCGACGATTATTTTTCTTCTTCCCTTCTTTGATAATGTCAGGTCCTCCAAATCGTCCCTCACTTTTTTGAACATCCGTCTCTCTACGAGATTAATTGACGCCTACGCTGCGTAGCCCGCAATCACACTCGATTTTCGCAATTCAGCCCTCGGTCGAATGTCCACGAAGGCGCGCAGTTCGGGCGAAAAGCCGCGCACTTATGCAGGTGTGTTTCCTGCCTTGTAATGACCCGGTAGCGGACGGCCCGCCCCTGCGCTTTGTTGCTCCTGTAAGCATTGGCTCCGCAGACATCGCCCGTTCGAAGAATACTCATTCAAAAGTCGCGCACGTATTGAGCCATGCTTCGTGCATTATATCGACCCGGTGGCGGATGGTCCGCGTCCGCTCGACTTCGCTATGGCAAGTGCTGCGGAAGACGCCCGTTCGACTCGGGCCCGGGCCATCTGCACTCAGAACAATTTTTTTTTCCCTCCACTTATTTAGGATCCTCGTTGGACCGAGGGCCCTGTCGCTGCCGACAACAAGAACAAAAAATCTAACACCGATTGCGAGTGGATTCTGTGGACTCCATGGCCTTCCTTCCTGGACTTACTGGCTTGCGATTGCACTCCAATCTATGCAACCCTCGCGCAATTCGCATTCCACCATGCACACATATTCAGGTGCGTTTCCATACTTGTATCGACTCGGTGGCGGATGGTCCGCATCCGCTCGACTTCACTGAGGATGGGATGTAAATGCTGCGGAAGACGCCCGTTCGATTCGGGCCCGGGTCATGGGGCGTTAGCGAAGGCTCTTTTTTGCCCTTCACGTTGGTGTGCTGCTCGCAGGTTGCAGTACTTGGGTAATTCTACTGGCTACTCAAAATTTAACGGAAGAATCTTGACCGAAATCCTGCATAAAGTGCTAAAGCTGGCTCTTAGCTCTGTCGTCTACGCAACCCTCGCGCAATTCGCACTCCGAACATGCACACACATTCAGGGCTATTTGTACGCTTCCATCGACTCGGTGGCGGACGGTCCGCATCCGCCCAGCGCTCGACAAAGACATTGATCCTGCGGACGCCGCCCGTTCGATTCGGGCCCGGGTCATACAACTCGATTTGTAATCCATTCTTTTCTTTTTTATCGGGTCCTCCCTACCTTCAGATTTCCTCTTGACGCTCACGAGGCTGCGGCGTGCTTACCACCTTAGGGCTGCAGTCAAAGATTCCCCAAACCCCGTCGTGCAACCTCACGCAGATAAAAAGGTACGTTGCGCGTATTGCACCGACCCGGTGGCGGATGGTCCGCGTCCGCTCAGCTTTCGATAGCAAATAGTACGCATGAAGTCATGCGGAGGACGCTCGTTCGATTCGGGCCCGGGTCGTGAATCGAATGTCGACGATGTTGTTTTCTCTTCCGTTTTTGAATACTGGCAGGTCGTCCAAAGTCCCATCAAAAAGTCCACACTTTCCTGAGAATACGGCTCTGGTTCTGCATTCTTCTTTACCAGGTTTATTTATGAGGAGGAAACCACAAGTCGAGCCACTTCACTGCTACTTATTCACACAAGCAAGCGCCACTTAATACTGCTGATATTCAAGTGCGCTTCCTGCCTTCTACCGACCCGGTAGCGGACGGTCCGCCTCTGCGCTTGTTGAAGTCGAACGTGTCGAATTCATCGTACATGTAGAAGCCGCCCGTTCGACTCGGGCCCGGTTCATTCTTGTGGGGGTTTTTTTGTGCTACCTTCTACTCCATCTTGCTCGTCCTTTACTCCGTCTTGCTCGCTGGCTTCTGCCCCACGCTCACATTGTCTCACCCAGGTCGTATTAATCCCCTGCTGATATTCCTGAGCCTCGAGTTACGCAGGTGCGTGTCTACGTTAGTATCAACCCGCAGGCGGACGGTCCACATCCGCTGAGCATCCGTCGACTAGGACCACATGAATTCATGCGGATCATTCGACTCAGCCCCGCGTCATGGTAATTAGTTGCAATCACTCTATGAACACCACGCCATTCGGATGTGCCGCGGGCGTACTCAGGGCTGATTACTCGCGTCCATGTCCATTTTCATGATGGACGTTATTCGAGCTGCAATTGGCAGTGGTAAGGACTCAGTGCTGGAAGGGTTCGCGTCCAGTGTCCGCCCATAAGGCCTTAAATCAAGGTTTGAGAATCCTTAAGGCCTTAATAAGGGCAAGGCCTTAAATATAAGGGTCGTTTAAGGCCTTAAATATATATTTTCCCATGCCCCTAGGCACCACCGAAATCCCAGTAAACTACGGCCGAAACTCCTCGTCAGAGTCAACCTCGATGGTGCCATCGTCCTCCACAGTCTCCACCAGTGCCCTGAGAGCCTTCCACGACGTCGGTCGTGGTCGCTCCAATGCTGTCCAGCTGGTGGGACATGCAATATTAGCAGTAGGTGCGATACACGGTCGAGTTTTGCAGCTCCTCACGCCAGAAATAATAATCCTTCAGAGACATGTCAAACGACGCGCAGATGGCAGAGGGAAAATTACATAATATAGTGCTTAAGGCCTTACCAAGGCCTTAAAACTTGGCCAAAAATCCTTAAGGCCTTATTTAAGGCCTTAATTAAGGGCTTAAACTTTTAAGGCTTAGCCCTTCGGGCGAACACTGGTACGGTGGGGATCCCTAGTTCCGAACTAGGTGTGATAATAAAATGTGCAAATTACATATTCAGTACATCCGAAATGAGATTTAGAGCTGCGACCGAAACAGAGGGCCCTGGTGTGGTTCTGCCTATGCAGTGATGCCGAGCTAGGCACCATGGGATATGCATACCTGCTTCGCGCTCAGCAAAGGCTAAGCGGTGGCTATGTAGCCTAGACCACGGTTGTCCAGACATAGACATAAATAGACTGGCGTCGGCACAGCTACTTCGCGCTCGACAAGTCGTTGACTAGGTCCGGCCTAAACGCAGTGAATTGAAAGTTTTTACACAAATGCGGAGACAATTGTCATGATAAATGGAGAGCTCAGTGAACCGTGGCTTGGAACAATTGGTCCTGACAGCTAAGAGCTTCGCGCGCTCTCTACATTTTATTAGTGAAGCGAAAATACCAAAGATTGGCCGGAGAAGGCGCGCGATAACAAGGCATTGATGTCGAAGATGTTCCCCATGAGACCTTGGAAGGACCTTCTCCTCGATCTCGCTAGCAGGGCAGGGATCCACGACGACGCGATATCGGAGGCGCGAAGTGCTTTAGGAATGTTAAATAGTGCTTGATGGGACTGAAATAATAATAATATTGTTGTACTGGTAAATCGCGCATCGAATGATCGAAATATCATGAATCAATTTTATCATTGGCAATTATTAGACTTGTCTTTATTCCTCTTGAGCCCATCGTCGCTCTCTCAAAGTTATTTCCTTTCCTAATTTCGCCCTTGAGCCCTCCATTTCCTCGCGCCAGGCCCAGTACTCGCTCAAGCGCATTTCCGAGTACTCGTTATGGTTGAAGTCGAATTCGGATATGGTCGCCTGGATGAGCGAGCATATTCCCCTGGAAGAAACAACGGTCAGAATTAGATACTTAGTCCCTCCCTGTAGCAATGCCTACCAGAAGAAACTCGGAATAGCCTGAAATGCGTCCACTTCCTTACAAAATCGCTCGAGCCGCGCGGGGTCCTCATCGATGGGTCGGCCGAGGTGCTTGTCGTAGCTGCGTATGTATTCGCGCAGGAACTCGCGCCGTGTAGACTTTGTAGGGAGCAAGTTGTAGTCACACTTGTACCCGGCCCATTCGGCGAAATGCGAGCAAATCTCGAACGCAGCAGGCGCGGGCGTGGCATATTCGTAATCGATGAAGTCTACCTCCACCACACCGTCGGCGGATGTAGCTGCCGCAGGTCGAACGATGATGTTACCAGCGAGCAGGTCGTTGTGAGCGAATACAAGCTAATGAAAAGAGTTAAAAATTAGCATGGGATCAACACAAGGCACCATTGCATACTTACACCATCTCCACCCAGTCCCGGTGTATCTCCTAGCTCTTTCACCAGACGCTCGAGCTCTTTTTGATATTTCGCATGCCTTTCTTCCTCGGCAGGGTTACGGGCGGGCAACGCGTGAACCCACTTCTGCATGAGTGTCCAAATATTGGGCACGGGCTTCCCGGGCATAGAAATGCCCTTGTGATCGCCCTCGTCGGCATTTCCGAACGAAGCGGTAACGAGTACTGCATGCCAATGCCCCATCGTGCGGGCTACACCTCGCCAGATGCTCTCCTGCGTGACATCATCCTCGGAGCAAACTTTGCCGATCACAAATCCGTAGAGAAGGCCATTCTTAAAGCGCGAGCAATGTCGATGCGAGGCCGTATTGAGAAAGTTGAGAGTGACAGGAGATCTCTCCTGAGAATTAATAGCATAAGTCGTAGCCTTTCATTTTAAGGCAGATGAGCGACGTACTCTCGCGATCAATCAGGATCTCAGTCCCGGTGCCGTATGCTCTGAGGAGCAGGGCGTCTTTGTCAATTTCGCTTTTGGTCAGTCTTGGGCGTTTCCTGACCACTTTAAGAAGCTGGTGCAATTTCGTATGTTAGAAGCCGCATTGCTCTAAATATCAAGCGCACGGTGTTATTTATTCCTTTTGTGAGTTTGATAAACTGGCATCCCATTCGGGGAAACGTGCCTTGACGAGCGCAAGAGCAGATGCCTCAGAGTCGCTAGAGTTGTACAGCAATGGAATATAGCGTATTTCTTGCTCAAGAGCGATCTTTTTATGGTCAGAGCTGTCCATGTTGTTGCTGCGAGGCAGAGGTGCGAGTCGTGGCGAGTCGCAAGCTGATCACGTTACTTATTGCCGTTTGTCTTACCCTTTGATTAGTCAACAATACACTGCCACTTCCCCATTTGCTTCGAGCCTGACTTTGGCGACCAACTGAGGTACTAGCAAGCGTGCTTGACGGTTAGATTTACCCTTGGAAGCTGCGAGACTGCTGCCCATCGCTTCTCTGTTTTGGAATGGACTTTGAATGGAAACGAAGCAATTGACCTCGAAAGTCGCGTCCTTGTGGCTCAATCCACAGCACCAGAGACAACTGAGAAATGGCTTACTCAAAATACTTCGAATACATTCTTGCACTGTTATACATTCCAAGCACGCACACCTGGTAGTGTGGGCACAGGGACACATACTTCATGCATTGCGCTGGGCCACGCTACGCCGGGTTACGACACCCTCGGCAAAGGACTTGGAAGAAATAGCTTCGATGTCTCCTCATCTGCCAAATCACTGCCTCTGTTCACATAAGGTGTCTGATCGCTCTAGATACTTAGAACCCCATTTGCACAAACGCGCTGGTGGAGGACTGATCGTAACTTCACCGCCGGCTGATTCGACTGGACTGCACTAATACTATCCAACTAGTTGAACCGAGTGTGTTCAAATCTCATTTTGAACACCTCCAGAACACATAAGCAGTTTTTCAAAAACTTTGAATAAATGAGCGAAATTATCTCTCGGCGTGACGAAATGCGCAACTATTATCTGAGACTGTGTACTCGGCCACCTCAGCACTTTTGACCTCGGGCCCGTACATAACGTTAAGCGAATACATGCCTGAGGGCCCAGGGACGATGGTATGCATCCTTGGAGTAAGCTCACATTTTCCCCCAGAATTTAGATGATGATTTCATGGCTTGCGGAATTTATTTTGCGGCGGTACCCAAAAATAGCCAGAAACAGGCTAGTCGGCCACCCCTTAAATTGTTAGATGGTGGACATACTAGTCGTCCCAATGCATACTAAATAGTCAAGGG